GGTGAATCTTTCATTACACTGTTAGCCTTATTGTGGCTTATTAGCCACAACGTGTATTAAAGCACTTATGTTTGAAGTTCTTCTTTCATGTGAAGATTAGAGAAGTGGTGTCTTTTGAAGGAAGTAATCATCTTCTGTCATTGCAAACCATCTTTGCTTGCCTAAATTTTCAAGATTTAGTGTAAGCATCTGTGCGATAAAACTTGTATAAGAGGATGAATGCATGCCTCAAGCTATTTGCACTTTTAGCATCATGCTAAAAGTAGCTACTTGTCTGTAATCACTGGCTTTGGAGAGAGTGCTTCAAAAAAAAGTACAATTGGTATTATAGATCCATCTCTGGGTGTAATATCTTGTATCTGTATATTTTATTTATTAGTGCAAATCGTCTTTTCGTGCAGAAATGCTATTCAATCCTCAATACAGCACTCCATAATAGTGCCATACTCATACGTTGCAGAGGAGAGTTACCCTAGTAAATATAAAGCTACAGTGTACATATTTGAGGCACTGTCAGTACTTCTCTCTGTGCAAACACTGATTTTGTTAAGTGAAGTAGAGATTGTGCTTGAGTAAAGAGACTGAGGTAGCTGAAAGCACAAAAAGCTGAATAATTTTGAAAATTAAGAATCGTTGCTGAAAATTCTTTTAAAAAAAATATTAACAAGCTAAGAGAGGTCATCTGAGTGTGTAACTATCTAGGTACTAGGATACCTCTCTTCAGTTGCAAATACAAGCACCTTCCAAATAGTCTTGTTCTCTGTCAGTCTGATTTACAGCTGATTCTACCATAAACATCAGTCTATCATAAGTATTTTGCAACAAACCAGGTTGTAATTAGACATGTTTCTCAAGCACAATAACTTGTTTAGGCTTGCCTTGAATTTATAAAACATGCAGTTTTAATGTTTTTCTTTCCTGAGAAATGTCATAGTATCACAGTTCCCTTTCAATTGAATTACAAAAAAATAGTCATTGGAAGTGGTGTGGAAAAGCAGTGTAAATTCCGAGCTGTACCACTGACTTTTAGCAGGAGCATTGACTCTGGATTTTTACTTGTGACCGTTTCATTGCATCTTTTAGCTTACAGACTCTTTCTTTCTATTTTGCATATACTTTCATAATTCATAGAATCATAGAATCGTTAGGGCTGGAAGGGACCTTCAAAGGCCATCTAGTCCAACCCCCCTGCAAGGAACAGGGATATCTCCAACTAGATCAGGTTGCTAGTGATTTGACACAGATCTTTGACCCAAAACTTACCAATAAGCTGTATTGTGATTTAAATAATGCTAGAATTCTTGGCATCAGCTGATTAGTCTTCTGTGACACCTATTTTACCCCAAAACAGTATCACTAGTATTGAAAAGAGTTTGTTACGTTAGGGCAGCAGATGAAATTCTGTGTTTGATCCCAGCAAGACCGTACTGAGTTCTGACAACATTAACACTTTATGTAGGTATTTCTTATTTCTTGAGGTAGGTCAGATTTTTCTACAATAAGACAGAAGAGATTGTTGCAGTGCAACTTGGGCAAAAGCTTTTCTGGAATTCTCTGTTGGAAATGAGGGTGGTCTCTAGTAAAAACACCATGTAGCCTTGCTGTAAGGATTTCTAGTGTTGGAAAACTGTTCTAATTCTTGGCCAAAGATTGCAATAGTTGTAATTAACTGCTGTAAATCTCCCCCTTTCTCCTGTCTGAGTTTGCCTTCTGTTCCCAGCTGTGAGGTCTAGCTGTCGCAGCTGGCGGCGGGTGGTTTGTGCTCATGGTGTAGGAGCACAGAGAGCCGTGCGCGGGGCTGCGGTGCAAGCGTGACTCATGCTGCATGCGGAGCCGGCGCAGTTAGACGTGACTGCTCACCTTCCCACCAGGCTTGTTCAGCCAGCAGCAGCTGTCAACTCAGCTGTGGCTCGGACATGTCACCCTCCTACGCCTTGTCAAAAAAGTCAATTTTACCATTACAGTGCTATGGCATGATGCTGTACATAATAGACTGTTTCCCTCTTTGACACAGCCTTGTGCTAGGCTGTGCCGTGACATCCTTGTCCATCCTAGAGCATGGGCTGCTGTAATGTACATTTGGATGTACATTTGGTCATTGATTTTTCTTTCCAGGATGTTTGGGTTTTTTTTACTTTTGATTGTATGGAGAGGGGATTTGAGTAGTTCCTGCTAGTTGAGGAGTGCAAGTTGCCTCTTGTCTCTTACCAGCCTCCCAATTTTCATGTCATGCAAATTTGTAGTGACAATTTGGTTTCCTAAATTGTTTTAAAGCGTGGCTGCATTTGTCTTTTATTGCAGTAAAACCAGTTTGGCCTGTACTCCTCTTTCCTGTAGTTGTGGTGTCTTAAAGCGTTTCAGCTGGGTACCAAATGATCAAAATAAGCAGGTTAAAAGTGCCAGTGGGTTTATCAAGCAACTGCAAAAGGTGTAAACCAGCACGGTATGCGGTGAAAATGAACGCCTAAGGATAGAGAGGGAGAAGGTTACTTTACAGTCTCCGTAGCCAAGAAAAAGGCCTCAGGAACCATATCCTTAGTGTTAGCGAGGCATGAGAACAGCGTAGAGATGAGGGAGCTGAGTAAGATACTGAGGAGGGCTGTGTTTTGGTTGGCAGCTGGGTGTTCACTGTGGGGTTGGGGAGTCACGTCACAGGTCTGTTCTTCAGTTCAGGGTCAATATGATAGGCACTGCAGCGGAGAAGTGTGTGCTCAGCTCCCAGCCTTAGCTAAGGGCATTATCTTTAGGACTTAGGGATGTATGCAGTTGGCTTACTGGGATCCCTTAAACTGAATTAACAGACCCTTCACCAAGCAGAAGCATACATCCATGTGGTGTTACTAGTTCATGGCAGGATCCCGATACAGATTATTTAGGCCGGTCTCAACAGGAAGCAAGGAGGCTGTCGAAATTTTGGCAGACTCCGAGTGTTGCTGGGGTAATGTCCCTTTTGCTTCATTGCCACCTCCACCAGCAAACAGTGGCTCTTGCGTGTAGAGGTCTCTGTGGCTTGAAATGCTGAGCACCAAATAAAAATCCGTCTCCGTTCTCCTCAGATCTGAGGTTTTTCTTCTAGTAATTATATGGACTTCAAGGGCCAGGATTAAGTATGTTTTAGCCTAGAATCAGACGATGAGTAGCAGTGTTTTGCTCCTGGACTGATCCACTTTGACGTGCTCCCTTTCAACCACCAACAAAAGACAGGAATGTCTGGATTGTTGCATGTGTAGAAGATAAACAATCATTTTTAACATGAACTTGACACTTCCTTGAGTAAAATACGTCCAAGTGGAGACCAGTGACAAGTGGTGTTCCTCAGGGGTCAGTACTGGGGCCAGTGCTGTTTCATATCTTTGTTGGTGACATGGACAGTGGGATCGAGTGCACCCTCAGCAAGTTTGCAGATGACACCAAACTGTGTGGTGTTGTGGACACGCTGGAGGGAAGGGATGCCATCCAGAGGGACCTTGACAGGCTGGAGAGGTGGGCCTGTGAGAACCTCATGAAGTTCAACGAGGCCAAGTGCAAGGTCCTGCACATGAGTCGGGGCAATCCCAAGCACAAGTACAAGCTGGGCGGAGAATGGATTGAGAGCAGCCCTGAGGAAAAGAGCTTGGGGTTGCTGGTCGATGAGAAGCTCAACATGAGCCAGCAATGTGCACTGGCAGCCCAGAAAGCCAACTGTGTCCTGGGCTGCATCCAAAGAAGCGTGGGCAGCAGGTCGAGAGAGGTGATTCTGCCCCTCTACTCAGCTCCTGTGAGAACCCACCTGGAATACTGCGTTCAGCTCTGGAGTCCCCAGCACAAAAGCGACATGGAGCTGCTGGAGTGGGTCCAGAGGAGGGCCACGAAGATTATCAGAGGTCTGGAGCACCTCTGCTATGAAGACAGGCTGAGAGAGTTGGGGCTGTTCAGCCTGGGGAAGAGAAGGCTCCGGGTCCATCTTATAGCAGCCTTCCAGTACTTAAAGGGGGCCTACAGGAAAGCTGGAGAGCGACTTTTTACAAAGGTGTGTAGTGATAGGACAAGGGGCAATGGCTT